AGCCAATTGGCTGGGGGAGGCAAGGGAGAGCATGGCTCTGCTCCAGGAGCAGGGCTCTGAATCTGACACGGGGTGCCAGGTCTACTCCAAAAAGGTTTATTCGGGTGCTATTGTTCGCAGAATACAAATGGCAGAACCTAAGACGGACGCATTTTGGCTGGTGAAGCTAGACAGAAGATGGGCTGAGAAAACATCAAACAGCAAGGGAAGCATTTTAAACATTCAGCCAACAAATATTTACCGAGCACCTATGCCTACTCTGTGCTGAAACTAGGAATACAGCGAGGAGCAAAGTCCTTGCCCTCGTGGAGTTCAAGGTCTAGAGTGTGAAGAGAGAAAAAAACACAAGTGGTTGGATAATGTGACAGTTGGTGAGAAGATAAAAATAAAAGAGGGGACTCTACAGAAACTCTGCCAATGGCAATGCCGCACACACCAAGATGCTCACCGTCACTCACCATCAGGGAAAGGCGACCACAGCCGAATGAGACAGCAGTTCAAACCTATTTGTATGACTGACTACATTTTTTAAAACAAAAGAAGAAAACAAGTGTTGATAAGGTTGTGGAGAAACCGGAGCCTCTGTGCGTTCTCGGTGGGAACGACCGTGATGCAGCTGCTGTGGCAAAGGGCGTGGCAGCTCCTCAAAACTCACCCAGAGAATCAGTGCAAACCCGGTGAGCCCACTTCCGGTGTGCACCTTACCGAAAGCCTCACACAGAGAATCAGTGCAAACCCGGTGAGCCCACTTCCGGTGTGCGCAGTACCGAGAGCCTCACACAGAGAATCAGTGCAAACCCGGTGAGCCCACTTCCGGTGTGCGCGTACCGAGAGCAGAGGCCCAGGCAGGTATCTTCACCCTCGTGTTTGCAGCAGCATTATTCAGAACGAACAAACAAAATGCGGTCTACCCCGATAATGGAATATTATTCAGTCTTAAAAAAAAGTTCTGGCACACGCTACAACATGAATGAATCTTGAGGATTTATGCTAAAATACACAAAGGCAAATTCTGTGTAATCCATCTATAGAAGGCATCTGTATCTATCTAGAATAGTCCAGTGCATGGAGACACAGAGTAGAATGGCAGGTGCCGGGGGGCTCGGGGGAGAAGTGAGGAGTCAGTGTTTCGTGTGTACAGAGCATCAGTTTGGGTGGGGTGATGGCTACACAGCAATGTAATTAATTATGTAATTAATAGCACTATGTAATTATGGCATTATGTAATTAATGCCACTAAGCTGTATATTTTCTAAATTTTTTATTTATTTTATGTGGTTTTTAAAAAATATTTTATTTATTTATCTTTAGAGAGGAAGGGAAAGTGAGAAACATCAATGTGTGGTTGCCTCTCGAGAGTCCCCTGCCGGGAACTGGCCTGCAACCCAGGCATGTGCCCTGACTGGGAATTGAACCGCAATTGTGTGGTTCGCAGGCCCATGCTCAATCCACTGAGCTATGCCAGCCAGGGCTATTTTATGTGTTTAGAAAGAGAAATGAAGGGAGGAAGTGAAACATCAATGCAAGAGAGAAACATCAGTTGGTAGCCTCTCATACAAGTCCCACTGGGGACTGAACCTGCAACCTAGGCATGACCAGGAGTCAAACCAGCCACGTTTCAATTTGCAGGACAATGCCCAACCAACTGAGCCACACCTGAAGGGCAATTTGTACATTTTAAATAGTTAGGCTCAGTTGGTTGGGCATCATACCTGAAAGCAAATGTTGCCTGTTCTGTTCCCAGTCAGGATACAAGCCTGGATTGTGGGTTTAGTCCCTGGTTGGGGTGTGTGCAGGAAAAAACAATCAATGTTTCTCTCTCACATCAATATTTCTCTCCTTCTCTTTCACCCTCCCTTCTTCTGTCTCTAAAAATTATTAATTAATTCATTAAAATCTTTAAAGGGTTAAAATGTTAACTGTTATATATCCTTTACCACAATAATTCCTTTTTTAAAGATTTTATTTATTTATTTTCAGAGAAAGGAGAAGGAAGGGTGAAAGAGTGAGAAAGAAACATTGATTGGTTGCCTCTTGCATATCCCCAAACTGGGTACCTGGCCTGCAACCCAAGCATGTGCCCTGACTGGGAATCCAACCAGTGACTTTTCAGTTCACAGGCTGGCACTCAACTCATTGAGTGACACCAGCCAGTAATTCTTTTAAGTGAGTGAAAAATAGTACTGGGCAAAGAGATGCTGTTTAACATGGGGAGGTCTTGGAAGGGCTCATTGACCAAGTGCTACTGGAGCAGAGATGGGTGTTCTAGGAGAGAGTAAATGGGGAGCGGCGGGTACTAGCAGGGCCAGGAACAAGCAAGTCCTGGCCCAGGCAGACATCATGGCAGGTGACCAGGAGGGACAGTTCCAGGAGATGGAAGCCCTGCAGGAAGAAGGGGGAACGAGAGGACTCAAGGACTCACAAGGCTCTGACTTGAGACTGGACTTAGGAAGGGAGGTTGCATAGGTCAGGGACCCAGAATGAAGTAGACGGACCCTCCAAAGGTTTAACCGAAGAGCTTTAAGAAGGGACTCTGCACAGAGGTGTGGGTAAGGACATGGGAATGGAGCAATAAAGAATAGAGAAGCACCTGGAGACGTGTATCAGCAGGGACCGTTACCACCTCTAGGCCTAAAGTTACCACAGGGAAGAAGCAATGCCAGAACTTGGCCAGGGGACATGAGGCTGTGGACAAGGGGCTATTACAGCAGAGCTGGAGAGGATCTCAGCAAGGGAATAAATACCTAACTTCTCTCTCCTTCCACCCTTCATTATCCGGGTGATGCTTTGCCCTTGAATGAATCCAACCAGAAGTCAATAACAAGGGAGACTGGGTAACCTGGCCACAGAGGTCAGCTTCCCAAGGCCCAGAGCAGAGCAGAGTTCAGTGGGAAAGAAACCCACAGGGGCAAACAGAGAAAAGCCAACACAGATGGTGATGCCCTTTGTTGAAATGAGTAACACAAGGGAAGGAGCCCTCTTTAGAGAATTAACAGGCTGGTAGGGAAACCAAGACAGAGGCCTGTCCATTCTTCTGATCAAGGCAAAGAAGTGCAAGGGGTGAGAGTGCTCCTGGGGCTCCCACCCCAGGTGTGGTGGAAGAGATGGCCCAAGGAGGTTGAGAAGCTTGCTGCCAGCCAGCTTGCAGGGGCCTCTCCCTCTCTCCCCTGAAGCAGCTCCCACTGTAAATCTATGGAGCAGTGGCTGTAGGAGGCAGATGAGGGGATGCTGGCCTGTGTGGCTCGGTTGATTGAGTGCCATCCTGCAAACTAAAAGGCTGCAGGTCCCATTCCCAGTCAGGTCACGTGCCTAGGTTGCAGGTTCAGTCCTGGTTGGGGTGTGTACAAAAGGCAACCCATCAATGTTTCTCTCACACATCGACGTTTCCCTCCCTCTCCTTCTTCTTCCCTTCCCCTCTCTCTAAAATCAAAAATTAAAATTAAAAAAACCACAGGCAGATGAGGGGGAGGTCAGGAGGAGGTATACCCAACTGGGGCAAAGTATTCCTGGGCACTAGTCCCAAACAGAAGTGAGGTCAGGGCTGGTCAGAAACCGAATCAGTGTAGTGAAGTTTAAAGCCAGCTCGACTTCAGTTAAAGAATGAGCTTCACTCTGAGAGGTTAGCCTCCCCACACCTCCTCTGGCCTCCCCCTCACTCCACTCCCAAGCCAAGAAGAGGCATGCAGGCCCTCCCAGCCAGGCAAAAGGGGCAACTCATCCCAGACAGGGAGAACAAGCACACTGGTGCCAGGCCAGCCCAAAGCCCCAGCAGATGAAATATTCATGCAGCCAGAAGGCAGGAGAACCGCAGAGGACTCATCCCTGGGGCTATGGGGCTGTGGTAATGGCAGTAGCAGCTGTAGCCCCCTCCCCTCTCCCACATCTCAAGCTTTGTTCTGCAGACTGGGCTGGGCCTGCAGTATCAGGGATCCAACCACTCACACACAAAAACACACACAACACACTCTGAAGACACATGTGAGGGTGAAGAAATTTGAGGGGAAGGAGAGGGGAGGAGGGCACACACAGACTCCAAACACGGACACAGAAACAGAGGCACAAGCATACTTTTGTACAGATGGGGATGCATGCACGTAAACCCACACAGCAATCGTACACTGGACCCAGGGGTGACTCTCCTGGTCATATAAAAATGCCTTCTTAAAATCTGCCTCTCTTGCCTTATCCTAGTCCCAGCCCTTCCCAAGCCTGCTCAGGTTACTTCCAGCCCAGCTTGCTGAGGCAGAAAGCTTCTTCCACCAGGACAACATTGGTGGGCTCCAAGCAAAGGCCTCCACGTCCTGACTGCCCTGAAGGAAAGGTCTCCGGGTTTCCAACGCTCCCTGGAGAGTCCCCCACCCCACGAATTTCCTCCAGTCAGTGGGATCACTATTTACACAAGGAAAGGGGGCGGGGAGCCGCGGGACGGACAGATCATCCCAAGTCAGAAAAAGTAACCAAAGGGTGACTTGAACTCAGGACTCCAGACACCCAGCCGAGCCAGCACCACCGAAGGTTCAGCAATTCCATTCTCAAAATTCCTCTCATCCGTTGAGACGTCCCCCACCACAACCTGACCCAGCCTCGGTCCGGCCACATGCACGGATGTTCTGGGGGCCGTCTCCCAGCTGGATCGTGCGGCCCTCTTAGATGTAGCTGTGAACCGTCCTGTCCAGAACTCAGCATCCCGAATTCTACTCCCAGTTCCAAATTAATAACCTCCCTTGCTCCAGACGCCTCCTGGGTCTGGGGTACTCCCACCCACAAGAAGTAGAACAGATGTCCTTGAGTGGAGAGTCCCCTAACACCGCAACTCTAGCCTTCGCTGCCGGGCGCGGGGGAGGGGGCTCGGGCGATGGGGGGGCAGGGGGAGGGGTGAGAGCCTCCACACCTATAGAGGGCGCTGTGGACGTCTGGCCGCTCTGGCCAGCAGACGGGCAGGGAGGCCGCCTCCATGGTGGTGCGCTGTCCAGCATTTCAGCAATCGGCGGCGGCGGCGCCCGTGAGGAGACAGAGGGCGCGGGGGCCGTGGGGGCCCGCGGAACTGCCCTGCCGAGCCCATCCGAGGAGCCGGCCCGGAGACGGTCCGGACAAGAGGGGTCGGAGGGCCTGACTCGAGCGCCCGGCGGAGCGCAGCGGTCAGCAAGGAGGTGAGAGCCCCTGGTGGGCTGGGGGCATTTCCCAGAGGGGCTGGGGCTGTCAAACCTCGGGCCTTCCCAGCTGGGCTGGGGTGCTCCGAGTCTACAGAACCCCCGCCAGAGGGTAGGTTGGGTGACTACTAGGGTGTTTGGTCGGAGATGCGAGGCACCTGGGGAACAGAGATGAGGGACGTTGCTTATTTCACAAACAGGAATGGAGAAAGTGAGAGCCCTGCGGGGTCATGGACAGGACTCCTCTTGGCATAAATGACCATGGCCTGCCCCATGAGAATGCTGGAGAGCTGACAAACTGCCAGTCCAATTGCCGTCCCCCAACTGAGGAGAAGGATTTGCTCCCTAGGGAAGCGAGCAACCGATGCAGGGACCCTGTGGAGATGGTGGTCACTGGGAGGGGTGGAGGGAGCAGGCCCCCACCTGAAAGCTGGCTTCTGTCCAGCAGGGAGTGGCAGCACAAGGGACAGCCTGGCCCCTTTCTCACTTGCCCATATGCCTCTGGGGAGGCAGGAGCTGGCAATGAGAATTGGGTCTCTCTCACACAGAATGCCATTTACTCTCCCACTGGGAAGAGGATGGAGGACACTGAAGTGAAAATAGCCACTAAGAGTTTAGGGAGGGTTTCTGTGGGCTCTCTGGATGCCCAGGGAGAGTTCCTGGGGCTCAGAGTGGGCCCAAACCTAAAGAAAATTCCTGGTATAAAGGAGAGATGAGAGAAGAGACGCAGCCTCTGCCTTGCATCCTCCTCCCCCGCCCTCCTAGGGCTTTTGCTTGGACAGTGTTGAGCCTCCTGCAGTTCCTGCTTCTGGCAGCAGGTTCATTGTGGGGATGGATTTGAGGGAGAGCAAGAGAAAGGCAGCCAGTTCTGGCCTGGTACTTTAATACCTGTGCTCTGTCCTAGCCATAAGTTCTCACTCCCCTAAGATCTCACTAACTCACCTACTTCTTCTGGTATTAGGGAGCCTGAGCTGTTCTTTTGTCCTGAGTCAAGAAAAAAGGCAGACACTTCAATAGAGAGCAAGACAGGGGCTGGAGAGTTTCTCTGTCAAGGGGCATCTTAAGGTCATGTCCCCAGCATGTGCCAGATTCTTCCCAGCCAAAAATAGGACCAAGCTGGCTGGGAAGTTGCTCCCACACAACACCAGCTTCTTGGTTCCTTCATTTTATACCCCAATCCCACTCTCCTGTGAGGGATGAGGTAGGAATTCTTGAAGAGTGAAGAAAGACTTGATTGGATTTTAAGAGGTGTGGGTTTGGAGTCATGGATTCTGATGTCTGAGAGACATGGGTTCAAATCTAAGCTATGTGACTTCAGAGAGCCACATAACTTTTCTGAGCCTGTTTCCCAATTTGTAAAACAAGAATTGTGTAGCATTAATAGTATCTACATTATTGTTCGAAGAAATAATCCACATAATAGATGAGAAACTATTTTTGAGCTGTAAAACACTGGGCAAGGGTTAGTAAATTAAGTGCAAGTAAGAATTTCTTAAGGAGGAGGTGGATAACGGTGGGAAAGTTTTCAGCATTGTCTAAAGCACGTCTTTCTCTTTCCCCAGAGGAGGTGGGCACTGGGTGAGGGCCTGATACCAGGCTCCATGCCAGGCACAATGCTACAGCTGACTCAGTTAATCCCCACAAAAACTTCACAAGGAAGCCATCATTGTCTTTATTTCACAGCCAAAACACAAGAACTGAGTGACTTTCCCAAGGTCATGAAGCCACACAAGCTGCCTTCCCTAGGGCAGAAGTGGAGCTGATCATCTGTCCCAGCCCCTTGATATCAAGGCCCAGTTAAATGTCAGTGTCTTGATTCATGCTGCCAGTGTTCCAGGTGGAGAGCCTGAGGCATAGGGGTCAAGGTGTGCAGTACAGGGAGGAGCAGACTGCCTCAAGGTCGCTGGGAGATTTGGAGGTGGAATGTCCTTTGAACTGGCCACCTGAGTGCCCCCACACCCCTGCCACTGTCATGCCTGCCAAAGGGGAAACAGGAATCTGACAGGCCCATCTGCTCACTGCTGTACCCACTTCTCATGTCCCAGGCCTGCCAGCCTCTTGCTGACCTCTGCAAGCCGGTGACTGCCAGTTCCTTTCTGAAGCAGTTAGACCTCACCCTCTGAAATGGGGCCTTGGTCACGAGCAACTGCCCCATTGCTGGCATGTGCCTCCCCTACTGACTTGTCTCTTCCTCTGACCCCTTCATACTGCCCCCAGGGGGCAGAATCATAGTTCCTCCTGTACCAGCAGCCAGCCCAGGACTCTGTGGAGGAGATGGGGGAGCCCGCCCTCCTCTTTAACTCTCATACTCTGAGCCCCTGCCACAGACCTGTCACCTCACTTACATTGTCTTACTTCACCCTCATATAACCTGGTCCTTTTCACAGAAGAGCAAAACAAGGCCTGGAAGTGACATGACTTCCCCAAGGTCATGGAGCAAAGTCTTGGAACAACCCTAGCCCACTGCCTCAGGGACCCAGTGTGGCCTCTATGACACCACTCTGTCCTCAGTTCTTCAGGTTCTCCTGGGGGAGGGTCAACCAGGGCACAGCGGGTCAGCGGGAGTTGGAGGGTAGCACATGTCGGAGGTAACAGAAGAGCTCTGGGACAGGAGTCCAAAGACTTTCTTTCTGCAGCCATGTCTGACCCTGTCTTCTTGTATGACCTTGAGCAGGGCCCTTCCTTCTCTGGGCCTCAGAGTCCTCAACCACAAAATGGTAGGGCTTGACTAGATGACCCCAAAGGCCCTACCAGCACCAAGATTTTAAAATCGGTCTGCTCTATAAATCTGTATGTTGGGAAGCCTGTGGGTCCATCTGCAGAAATAGAAGCCATCTCCAGGGTTTCAAGTTTGATTTATTCATTGGAACTGAGATTAAAAATGCACCTATCTCTCTCACCTACAAATTTGAGGACTTAACTGAAGGGGGAAAATATGACTTGGAGAGGCCCAATAGGTCACCTGGAGATCCCAGGCTGAAGCCCTTCTGGCCCAGGACACTGGAGGTGCCCTGTGCACACCTGCCAAAGCTGTTTGCCAGAGTCCAGGAGGCCCCAAGACACACATGCACAGGCCCCTTGTCCAGGAAGGCAGCAGGGGTGTGGTGGCTGAGGCTTATTTGTGGAGTCTTGGGGGCAGGGAGGGATTTTGCAGCTAATGCTCTAAAGAAAGGATGCAGGGGCCTGCAGAGGGGGTGGGTCGGTATGGCAACTAGTCCAGGCCCAGTGGGGAGGGGCAGCCAGACAAGAAATGGAGACGTTCCTTCTTAATTCCAACACCTGGGCTCGGTGAAAGGATGGGGAGCTCAGAGAGGAGGAAGGGTTTAATGAGGAAAGAAAAGATCAGAGAGAGGGCACTCAGTAAGAGTGGGCTCAGAGAGGAAGGGGGTTTGAGAGGTGCTCGATGAGGGAACAGAGAGAGCAGTGAGAGGGAGGAGACCCAGAGGAGCAGAGGGGCCTCTGGCCACAAGGGGCTCTTTTAGAGACCCCAGTCAGACCCAGTCTTGATGCTCATGGTGGCTTAGTGCCTGCTGATACCATAGAGTTTCTGTCCCTTCACCTTCCTCTGGGTCATGAGCACCAGAAGGCAACAGCTCCATCCCCAGGGGCCAAGTGCATCCAGAATGGGGCTCTCAGGGGGGGCCCAGGCAGATGGGCCAGTCCCAGGTTGACCAGGCTGACCTTTGACCTGAAAGGACGGCTCCAGCAGTCATGTGGTCCTTGGCTCCAGAGCAGCCCACAAAACCCAGGGTCTCTCATCCCATCACCAAAATCCAGGCAGCCTATTCATTTGCAGCACTGCTTCCTCAGCAGTCAGCCTGGCCTCGGCCTCCTGCCGTCCCCGCCCTGGCCTGCTGCCCACTGCAGAGGCTGCTGTGCCAGCTGGAGCTGGTGAGGGCTATGAGGCAGCCTGGGCCCAGCAAACCGGACCTTGGGGTACAGGCAGCTTTCTGCACTGGGGAGCTCTTGGCCTTCCACTTTCTAGCTTTGAGTATAGCCTGTGGCTTTGAGCAACTCCCCAGGACTCCCCAGGATGGAGACATGTAAAAGTAAGTTTCATTGAAGTCTTTTGATTTGAAAAACCACACATCTTTATTGTACAAGACTTGGAAATAGAGAAACCGAGGAAAATAGGGATCGACAGTAGTCCCACCTCCCAAAGATAGCCACTGTGAGCAAAGCAAAGGGGAGAATTTCCTTCCAGGATTTTGTCCGCGTGTTCACAGATCCATAGACTTAAATAACTGGGAACACGCTGTTGGGGAAAACCAGTATCTTCTTTTTTTATTCCATCACGAGAACTTTCTGATGCCTTTCAAGATTCTTCAAAAAGCTTTCTTTTAATGGCCCCATGAAGGCTGGGCGTGGGGGCAGTCGCTTCTCAGAGCCAGCGAAAGCTGCTGGGAGAAGCTTGCCCCTCCTTTCCCCTCCTGAGCGGGGCACAGCTTCCAGGCCTGCTGGCTGTGGTGGTTTCCCTTGGAGGGGCTGGCTCAGGGGCCTGTGCCCGTGTCAGCCAGGGACTGAGGGGAGCCTGCTTCCTCAGCCCAACCACTGCCGGCATTAAGGTGGGTAGGGCCAAAGCTTCTGGGGGGAGGGGCAGCATGAGAAAGTCTGGGGGAGGGGGAGAGCCTGGATGTAACCAGACCTCAGAAGAAAGAGTTCAGAACTGAAAATCAGGCAACGGCCAATCTTCTGGGCTCAGATCTCATCTGGGCCTCGATCTCCACAACCGGGTCTTTTCCTCGCCTGTAAAATGGGCATCATGATACTTTCCTCCAGGTGTGGCGTGAGAAGCGACTCAGGCAATGGGTGTGAAAGCCCCTGAGAAAGGAGAATACCCAGTGCACTCCCCAGAGATGGTGGTCGTGTGAGTGTGTGACCACACTGTCAACATCTGCCAGCTCCCCCTATGTTCTGGGCACAGTAGGAGCACTGGGGACACCCTGACCTTGAGGAGCTCCCAGACTAGTGGGAGAGGGAGGTATGAGGACACTGACAGT